AAGTTAACACTGTCAATGTTGATGTTTCCGGCGTGTGATCAATACAGTATGTTGGTTGGTGATTAAATGTATTGGTTGTTTCCTTCGCGATCGGAGTACGGCTCACTTCTTGTTTAGTCAATGCCTGCTTTGGGATACGAATGGCAACTATAACTCCAGCAATTCTAGTGTTTCCATTTAAATCGTACCATCCACGATACACTTTGTAATGTTGATGATAAATGATGTATGGTACAACTACAAAATATACCCTCTGGTTATTTAACATAGCCATGGTATAGATGGCCCATGAACATAGATGGTTTACCTATTAAAAATGGGTGGATCTTTCCATGGCAAACTGTTAAATAACCAGATGGTAGATTTGCTGAATGTTATTGTTTTATTGTTCAATCATGGTCATCCTACACAAGACCTTCCCAATCATGTGCCACCCAAGATCACCCAAGCTGGCGCTGCCCACTGGATATGGCCCTTGTTTGAATCCAATTGAGGTGCTTTTACGGACAGCATTTGGTGATTCGACCCATTCATTGAGTTTGAAGCCCATATTATCCATTATGATCCATTATTATTGACTGATATTATCACTGATTGTCCTCCAGATGTGTGCATTAAAGCTAGGGTTTTCCAAGCAACCGGCCATGACCAGTGGTCTAGGCCATGCCGTGATGACGGAGAAAGTCGACAGCCCCGAGACAATATGGGTGCCTCGGCCGTGTTGCCGCGGCCCCAAGACATGTGAAAACATGGTGTAAAAGTCTCGAAATGATGGGTAAGACACAATTTTTATGGGGACAAACGGATGGGCTAGTCACCAAAAAGATACAAAAGTGAGTTGTCACTATTGAACATAGGGATTTAATATGATTTAATGATTTAGTATGACTTATTACTGTTCTAACCCTTTGGGGATAACTACAGAAATGAGCAACTAGGTAGGAGAGGGGCATTCTCCAGTGTCATGGCCAGCTGGGAAATCGACGAGAAAGGATGATTTTTATTGGCATTGAAATGGTACAATTCTTTCTGGTGGTTTGGAACATGGCTTGAAAAAAAAAACCCAATAGTTGGGATGACGATCCAATCTGACGAACTCATATTTTTCAGGGCGGTTGAAACCACCAACCAGATTTGAAGATACAAGTAGCTTATTTTTCCGTCAGATTAGAATATCTCACCATCACAACAGGTAATCTCACATAGATCGTCTTACGGTTGACGCTATTCTTGGTGATTTCACATAGCCCAAATTACTGACCATTACTTAACAAGTAAGCCATCTACAAACAGGCAATTGTCCATGACAAAGTGCAGGCAGTTGCCAGAGGGTAATCTTGACAAGATATCCCATCTCAATTAATTGCATAGAGTATATCCTAATTAATATAGTTAGATGGGCCATGGGATTAGCTATGACTATAGGTTAAATAAACTCGATCATAACGTTTTAACCCATCAATAATCACAATTTTAGTCCATTTACGAACTTTTTTCATTATAAGTCCATGGCCCATCGAAGTTAACCCCAGGAATATTCCTTTTTTGAAACACACGAAGTGAGGCTTTTCCTTGGGCTGACCCCAGGTGCCCCCACTCTGCCCAGGTTGGCATGCGCTTGCGGCCGCTGGTGGAGCGAGAGAAAGGCGTGCCGACGTCGACCGGAGGGAAAGGCTACCCGTTTTAAGAACGGGAGAAAAACTCCGAAAGATAATGAAAAAGAATGTGTATAGTTGGTCATCGCCAATATCGCTATAGATGAATTATAGATATAACTCTATGTACTGAGTACTGTAGATATAATATAGCATTTGAGGATGAGAGTTACAACCTGCCTATATCTATAATTTATCTATAGTGATATTGGCGATGACCAAGAATACACATTCTTCTGTCTTCTGGTAGCATTGGTTCAGCAACTGCTGCATGACCATGTTTTACTGGAACATATCGCCAAATCGGAATTTCCATTGCCAATGTGGATTGACGGAGGGTACTGCAATAGTAAAATCCAGTGGTTGCGTTGAGAACTTGTTTAAAACAGCATGTCCATTCAGTTCGAAACAGGTTTTCCATGGTTTTCCCCAAAATTGCCACACTTTTTTCCAGTTTCCACCCATCTTCCCTACAAAAAATGGGCTTTGGCGCCATGCGCCCGTGTGAAACGCGCCCATGGCGAGACCTCTGGTGCAGGTCAGCCGCATTGCCTCCGCATTGAGGCGCCGTCGCCTCAAATCTGGGAAAAAAAACAACAGAAAACCCTATAAGTGATACACCCCCTAAACGAAACCATGGTAAAAAATATGGAAATTCATGGAAATTCCACATAATTGGGACCATAGAATGGGTGTTTTTTTTTCTTTTTAGGGGGATGGGATTATGACATCTGCTTTGAGAAACACTGTATCAACCCAGATATTGAATGATCTCCTGAGATATGTATGAGCCAGAAAGAAATCAATAATTTTTGGGTGCATATAGTTTTTACATAAAATAGCCTAAGACTAAGAACAATCCCCTAATTTTCTCTCTGTGGAATTCCCATCATCTTTTCCCCCATTGCTGGAGGGTTCATCCCATATCATCCCATTAGAAAAACCCGGCCTGGTAAACATACAAAAAACTATGGGAAATCACCATGTTTAATGGGTAAATCCATGATTTCTATGACCATTTTCAATAGCAAACTGTTAGTTTACCAGAGGGTATTCCATTATATATTTTCCTACAATACTGCTTAGATGGGCCATGGACTTAGTTAACTAGGTGGTTTATTCTCCAATTATAAATTATAACCCACAAGAACTAACCAGGAATCGCTGTCCCATGGTCCATCTAAGTGGGGTATCCCCATGGCCGCAGGGCACTGAAGTCCACGTGGTCGAAGAGGCCTTGGACTCGGAGCGGCGCATGGAACTCCACCGCGCCTCCTTCGCCTTCGACGCACGGATGCCCGAGAGCTGGGGCGGTCTGAAAAACCCGCAACAAAATGGAGGGGTTGAAGCCGAGATGCCGGGGAAACATGTGGACAACATCTGGAATATGGAAGAGATGTGAAAGAGATGTGGAAAAAATATGATTTTCACCATCAAGATTCTTATGAAGTAGGGAACAGAAGGGATATTTTTGAAATTGCACAGGGAGTGATCTGTCCGGTCCCACTTACGTTGAGCCGCGTGGGGGTTAGTTTGCAAGGTGGCAATGGATAGCACCGACCCCTCCAAGCCAGAGTACATCTCACAGGCGTGGAACAGTAAAATCTTGAGAGAGAGAGAGGTAGATGCTTTATTTGTTATTTTTTTGCCAGCAAGAGTTGCTGCCATGTCAGGTTGTTGCCAGCATTTGCAATTTTTCATTTTGATTATCCCATTAAATTAACATTAAACCTCTATAAAGCATATAATTATTATTAAATTGCAGTTAAATTACCATTAAACCTCTATTAATCTGTCATTTTTGGGACCCGGACCCCTCCAACAAGCGTGTTTTTTGCCCGCCACCAGGAAAAATGCTACGAAATCATGGGAGGACGTATGGTGCAGCACATGCTGCAGGCGCGAAGGGCTGACTTCGGTGGCTGAGATCATGGTGAGATTTTCCCGGAATCTCGTTTGTTTTTGGTCCAAGTAACTTCAAGAAGATTGGGGATAGATGTTAAATCCTACTTTTTTGATTTTTTCGCGGGGGTTCATCCATGAGATATATTACAAAAAAGGAACTTCAGGATGTAAATCCTAGTTTTGTGGTTGAACATGAGCCCAGCCAAGAGCCAATAATTTCCGAGGACGTGATGCATGACTTGTACATCATGTGTTCCATTCCTTGCAGCCCTTCCACCAAGGATCGCCCCAGGATTACCATAGCATGGGAAAGGGGGACGGCCTAATGAAGATTGGCAAACCTGGTAAACTGAATAGCTTCCAGCTTTCCAAAAGTCCCGGAGGCAACGCCCAATTATTCCAAGACCCCCTTTCCCACAAGATAATTGAAGGGCTACCAAACTCACAGGCACAGCCTCCTCAGTTGCTCAATCTACTCCAGTTGCAGACATGTTTAAAAGAATAAGGACCCAGTCATACAGTCCCTTGAATCTGGGTTATTTTCCGGTAAATCCCATATTAGTGTCATTCATATTTATCATTTGCGCATATTTTCTCCCCAGACGCCCATCTCCTTCCCCTTCCCTTCCGCAGGGCTTCAACACCTGTCTCTTCTGCTACGGCCAGACGGGGACAGGCAAGACGACCACCATCATGGGCAGCGCAGGGGGCCCCTGGGAGAGTTTGCAGTGAACAGGCTGGGCCAATGGCCTTTTCTTTATGTCTTTTGTTTTAATGTGTTTTTTTCTTTCCGTGTTTGACTTCTTCTCATTTGTTTTCGGAACTTGATGGATATGTTTGGGGAGTGTTGAGGCATTTGGACTTCCAGAGTACATACCCGTTGGCATGAAAATTAAATCCAAGTCGCACCTTGGATTGCACACATCGTACCAATAAATATGGGTCAAGTTACCAAATTTGGCATACCTAAAAGGTCCGGCATGGTTAGATTAAAGATGGCGTACCAACCAAATAAATCAAATGGGATATAATCGGCAACGATTAGGATTTATACAACCGATTTCGGCTTGTTTGTACATGGGGAGCGCCCAAATTTATTGCAAACTGATGGTACTTATGATGCACCATAGGAGTTTGCGTTTTCGATTCTGGGGTGGTTGGAGCTACTGCAAGTGCTTTCTGGTTCTTCGCTTATAGATGTCGAATGTTGTAGCTTTATTTGGCCCTTCTGCTGACGTTAACGTTAACGCATGTTGCCGCCTGACAGTGCTACAAGTTCCTGGGAATTTGCTGCTGAAGCTAACATCAGAAGTTCAGCTGTGTTCAAGAATCCATAGCCCAGAGAAATGTAGGGCTGTGACAGTGAGTTTGCAACACCAGCGCGGCAGCATTTTGCTCAACTCTCCCTGATCGCGGCAGCATTTTGTCACTGTCATCATCATGACCGAGATTCGCGGTACAGGCGCGCCATGGAGTTGCTGGCATTTTTTGTTGGTGAATCAATGTGTTCCTTTTACTTCACCAAGATCCCTTTGTTTTAATCACTATCTTTTACTACCTTGGCATTACTATCTTTTACTTCACTGGATGTGTCCTTTGTTCTAATCACGATGATCCCCTAATGACGAACAGATTTTTCAGGGCGGTGGCTTAGCCACCAACCAGTCCTTGCTTGATCACAAGAGAAGACCTCCAGTGGGGTTTCTACACTGAATCCCCAGGCATCTTTATTCCAAAGGGTCGATCTAAATTGATGCTTCAGTTGGTGAAAAAACACATCTGTTTCCTACTCACATTATTGGTCTACCAAGTTTTGGTTCATACCCAGCATGTTTCGTTTTTGGATACTTTGGTGGATGCATATTCCACAAAAAATGTGAATATTCCGCATGTTAATGCTGGTGAATGATATTGTGAATGAGTTCATGATGTTTGTTGGCTGATAGTTCAAGGCACAACTAGTTCATCAGCTAAACTCATCAATTAATGTTATATAACCATTTAATTTAAACATCTCCTGATCTCTGACTGTTCCATCCTGGATGGTTAACGAATAACCCCCCTAAAATAATAATGGACGATCCATCCAATCAACGATGATTACTTACTTGATTAAGGATCATTAGACAAGTCCATAGCTGATTCACCATTATACCCAGTAATTAATGGTTAATGGTTACTGATTCACCATGAATCACCATGAACCATGTTTCACTTACCAATACTTGCCATCATTCTATAGCCAGTGTCCCAAGCGTACGATGTTCGTTGAGTTGACCTTGATTGATTGTGATTAAATCAATCAAGCCCTAGATTTATCTCATGCATATAATGGTTACACACACATTCATATATTAAAATATATGATTATTTATGAATATATATATATATATACTGCTAGAAGTATGGTGATCCGAACCATAGTTATAAGATTTTGTAAGTTACTAAGTTGGTTTTCCATATAAGATTCGCAACTTTGAATTTGTTTGGACCTGGGGCCAAAACATAGATATGTTGGAACAGGTTGGAATTATACAGATAATGGTTGATTTTATATTTGATGTTCCCATTAAAGCCAACACTTAAACAATGTGGGGCTCCTTAGCTCAGCTATGTTTGTTGGTTTATAAACCCAATCAACTAGTTTGTTTTTGTTTCAGCATCATAAACCCTATAATAAACTTGGAGTTATGTACCCCCAACCGATCGCGATTTTGTAGGCCCCGGCGCCCCACTTTGGTTCCGAGGATCATCGCTATTGGAACATGATTGGAAGTATATGTTTTAAAGTGTTCATCATTTGATTTCAAGTCTGAAATCTTGGAAGTAGAATCTCAGATAACCACTTTTTACATCTCAGACCAGTAGAATCTCAACAGATAACATCAGATAACCCCCATAAAAATCATTAAAAATCCATAAAACACTCATAAACACACCGTCCCCTTGGACGGCCAAAAATTGTGCAGGTGGCATGATGACCCAGGCCGAAGAAGGCATGAAGCTCTTCGAGGCGCAGCAAGGTACTGCCGCGGAGGTGGATAAGGTGGGGCCATGTGGGGCCGGCGCTAGATAGGGAGTAGGAAAAACCTGGCAAAATGATGGTGAAAATTGAGGAAGAGATAGGAAGAGTGAAAGTTGAGTGCAGAAGAAAATGAGAGTTTTAAGTGGTATGTCTAAGCCATCAAACATGAGGGTTGACCTCGGCAAACTGATAGTTTTGTTTCTCTTAAACTGAGAGGCGGCAGTGCCGGCAAACATGTTGTTTTGTTCCGGGTATAGATGCAGGTAAAAAATCCACGCATGAATGATCTGAGATAGAGATGTGGAGGAGGAAAATCTTGTGCCTGAATGTTCGATTTCAAATTCAATATCTTGTACTTACTAGGTGAAAGTTGCTTGGGGACTAGAATTTGAGCTGGATTCTGTTCTGACAGGAGCCTGACTGTATTTCATGGAAAAGCTGCTGGGATCATTGGGAGTGCTGTGTGCAGGATGCCGCCAACAAGTACAAGCAGGAAGTGGAAGCACGTCACTTGCCCTTAGGGCATGCATTTTGCATGGTTTTGTTTAGGTTGCTGGGAGGAATTTGCTGGGTTCACTTTCTTTTTATGTGTTTTTTCTTCTGGATATCAGTCATGCAGAGGCAAGATGAGGCAACCACGTTTGCGTATCTAAATGTCACATTTCATTTATATATATATATCATATTTAATATACAATAATCAAATATGTGTAATTAAAGATCTACATTTAAACTATATCATAAGTCATACATACAGTATATATATATAATAAATACACACGTGTGTGTATGAATTGAAAGATCCCTTTTGGATCATGCTTGCAGCCTGAAATCATCGCCAAGGCATCGCCTCCCTGGAGAACGAAGCGAACCTCTTGACGGGCAAGGCGGCGCCAGACCATGTGGGGATGACATAAGGGTGTCCCCAAATCATCCATGTTAGTAACTAGGATTTTCCCTTATAAACTTATAAGCCATCCATTTTGGGTACCCCATTTATGGAAAGCCCCATATTGCGGTAATTTGTGTAAGTTTGTCATTGTCATGGTGTTGTCATGAACATTCACGCCAACGCACGAGCCGTGGAGCCATTCTTGGCAGCTTTGATGCAAGTCCCTTTTTATCCCTTTTTTGCACGGGGGGGTTACCAGCAGCCATGACCTGAACATGCTTTCTGTGAGCTACCTGAGTGCCCAACACAGGACAAGAAGAAGGAACGTGCCGCGAAAGGTAAGGAGGTGGCCGAATTGAAAGGAGAACAGCTGCTGGGATGATAAGACGCAGACGCACGAAACCATGCCGGGAGGGAGCTTGAAAGGTGAAAGTGTAGGGCTTTGTTGGAAATTGTTGGTATTTCCAGGCTTCCAACTTCACCATCTCATTAGGGGCCGCTATCAATGTTTTGGGAGGTATGACATGATATCATTAGGGGCGAAGATATAGTGTTTCGTTCATTCTTCGAAACGTCTCGTTAGTGGTCACGCGGCACCATAGTGCCCTAGACGTTACTAGCAAGATCTAGTGACCCCACAAAAAGGCAGAGAGAACACCCACCGGTGAAACCATCCTTTCATCCTGATGTAGATGGAATTATAGCCACCAGCTGGAAACATCTAACCAGAACAGCATCGCCCTAAGATGATCAAAAAGGTCCCCAATCCAAAGGTGTGCTCGTGGTGCTGCAGGCTGAGCAATGTTTTTTGCGTGAAACAAGTCTTTGACATAGTCTGTCTGACAAATACCCTCTGGTAAACACACATAGCTACTATTAAAAGTGGCCATTTATAGTGGATTTTCCCATTAAAACTGCTGATGTTCCATAGTTATGTTAGTTTACCGGAGGGTATTTTTACAATTGGGTTGACCATGTTTGAGCCTACGGGTTGAAAACCGTCCGAGCGTTTTAGGCATTTTTTTATATCCCTGTGGATCCAATGTTGGGTCTATTTGCTGACATTTGCGGTAAACCTTGTTTTTTGACGTCCGTAGGCATTATTTGACATCCGTAGCCAAAATTTGGCAACATTTGCGGTAACCATAATTTTACCGTAAAATGCTGTGAGCACAAGCGAAAAGTGGCAGCTACCCTTAGAAGATGAGCGGTCAATCCTAAACAGATCACGGTTTATCACGGTTTATCACGTTTTGTCACGGTGTTTCCGACAAATGTCATAATTTTAAGTGGCAAAAAAGAATTCATCACGATTTGTCACGATTTTGAACTGCATATGACCATGATCAACTCGCATGCGCATCTTACAAATAGAGGATGCCTGCGGTTTTTCTCGATTTCCGACAAAATCCGATGGATTTCCGACAGGTTCCGGCAAATGTAACGAAAATCAAGCGTTAACGGAGACGTAGCTGTATTTTGACTACATTTCTATTTTTGGTGTATTTAACGACATGGATCCTCAGGGTATGTTCCTTGGGGTGGGGTGGGGCAATAACGTTCACGTACTTGCGCACTCCCATGATGTTACGCCACGGCACGTTCACTTGCACGTGCGCACATACGTCATGCTACGTTGAAGATGTGTCACGTCACGCAGGGGTGGGGTGGGGTGGGGTAATAACGCTCACGTACTTGCCAGTGTTCCCGATCAGTTGACATCTTGCCCAGAAAACGAACAAAAATTGAATGACCTCATTTGGACGTACGTTCGCACATGGCAGTGGCGATGGGAGGCAAATGTAGTTGGAAAAGCCCTGTTGGAGAAAACAGGTGCGTACTTAGCGAAGATGTAGAGATCACCGGAAAAAATGGCTGCCGCTGAGGCTTTGGGCACGCTGACTTCCCAAAAGGAACCTTTTTTCGCACTCCGACATGTCAACTATATACAGTAAATCCCAATGAAAATTCAAAATCACAATAGAATTGACCTTCATGGACAACATAAAACATAAAAAACACTGCGAAACGCATGATTGACTTCTTGCCAGTAACATGAAAATGCTGTTTTTACTCGGCCCATTTCCAACCCGGCGGGATGTTTGACCCAGGAAACCCCGATATAAATTGGGCAGCCTGGTTTCCTCTAGATTTTCCCCGAAATCAATCTTTTCATGTTCATCCAGCCGATTTTTGATCCCCAACTTCTGATTCCTCATCCCCATCATCCCCATCATCCCCATCATCCCCATCATCCCCATCATCCCCATCATCCAATGTGAACTTCCAGCTCTCCCTATAAGGCAATACGTGGACGCCTGCAAGATCGTCAAAGGCCTGGAGCCGAAGTTCGGATACTTCGTGACCAAGGCTGCCGAGGCCCCAAAGGCGCTGGAGACACCGACACCGGAGGTGGAGGAAGTGAAGCCGGACAAGGCCAAGAAGGCCAGAAGTGCAGCCGGGGAAGCCGGATCGGCAGCCGGATCAGTTTGGATTTGCGTCTTAGTTTGAGTTTCTTATGGTTTGTTTGACAATGGAGTACCCCTAGATCCATTGGTTTATCATCAAGTTTCCCATTAAATGCCGATTTTGGTGGTATACCCTATTTTGAGACAAATCATGACACATTCATATGTTAATAAACGATATTTGTTAATACGGTTGTCGCCGTGGCCCTTTGCCAGTTAGGCCAGATATAAACCCCATTTATGGACTGATCACTGATAACTAACAATTATTATATCATTTATTATAACTGGTGGAGGGCCTCAAGTGCAAGGTCCAATTTAGCGTTTCAGCTGGAATGGTTAGCAGCATGAGGGATGTCACCTGGGTTTTCAACTGGCTTTAGTTAAATTCGTTCTCATGCCTTTCGATGGGACATGATGCAATCCCTAAAACATTCTGATTCCAACCTGGAATTCGGTACCCTCTGGTAAACTATCATAACTTTGGAAAATCAACATTTTTAGTGGGTAAATCAACTATTTCTATGGCTATGTTCAATAACTATGTTAATTTACCAGAGAGTATCATGCCATTTTGGATCCCAGTTGAAATCAGTTGAAGCTGTCAAATCTCAGCACCCGACATCACGAGCGGCTCATTGGTAACATCCATCCCCCTGCGACATCTTTTGTGACAGCTCTCGACAGCGCGACAGCAGGACAGCAAGAAGGAGCCCAAGAAGGAAAGTGCCGGTCTGAGCCCTGCCGAGACCAAGGATTTGCGCCAAGGGATGGCATGGGATGGCATGAGGGCTGAAGATGTGGTACGACTTGGGGTTGTATATGGGGTATATGGATTATTACATATGGACCACGGAAATATGTATATATTTATAATTATATATATATAAGAACACATATATATATATATATACATAAAATTGTATTTATATACGTACATACATGTAATTACATATTTATACATATAATACATATATATATATATATACATATTTAGATATAGATATACATATGTATATATAATATGTGTATATATATATATATGTATAGATATAAATATTTACAGTAGGCATTATGTACCATTTTTATTTATATATATATATAATACTTCATATGATTCTATTTGGATTTTATACAGGTCAGAAGCCACCTACCAACTTGGATGCATCTAAGTATTTTCTTGCCAGCCATGTTACAGTACCCTCCGGGGTATGCCTAACCCAAGCTGAAAGACCCTGAGAGACATCATCGTTCCCATGGCGCACCTTCAAAGCTGCGAGTACCTTGCATTCCGGCACACTGCAGTGGCAGTGTTTTCTTTTTTCTCCGAATGGAATTGCGTAGACTGGGTGGAAATGTGCAAATGATTGGTACGTGGGTCATGATCCCTTAAACATGAGAATCCTGGATTAGCTTATCCATCAACAACCATTTTCATCCCGGATGGATTGCGGCCATGGACTTCGATTTTATCCTCCCGGTGGTATCTCAAGAACTGAGATAATTAGAATATTGGATTTCGCACACCCTTGGGAAAACCCACCATTTTGTAGATCTATTGTTCGTGTTGTTCCATGCTTTGCCCAAAGACATTTATATGTTTCCTATGGAAACAATGGATTTTTCCATATTAATCCCACATAATATGCATATATATATATATACAGATATAGGTAGGCTGACCAATTATTGGTCCAATATTGTCCATATTAATCCCAGATATTCATATGAGTAACCAAACAAAATTAGCGGAAAACGAAAGTAGTGGGGAGTGGCCATGAGATGTTCTTAAATTTCTGCTTTAAAACATTCACAACCGATAGGGGACCACCCACTGCAGGAGTTGGAGGATTTGAAGCAGCAAATTGTCGAGCGCAAGGCCATTCTGAAGGCCTGGCTCGATGGGGCCGGTGGCTCATCCCACTTGGTGGATGTAAGTGGGTTAAGCCTAGTCATTGACGGGGGATAAGTAAGGTTAACCCGCTGGCTTAGCCACAGATCCTAAGTGATCTAAGTGAGATGAGCCACCTAGTAGTTTAGTCTTTTGGTACTTTGAAATTTTGCACTTTGACATTTTGATACCTTAGTGTTTGTATGATTAGTATGTTCTGGTACTTTACATGGGAATATTTACCAGCCAGCTAAAACAAACATGCAGGGTATCTAAGATTGGCCAAGATTGGCCACAATTTATATAGCCAACATCCACCGGGTAAATGCAATGATCCAAGCGAAGTTAGTTGACGTTAGGATTTACGGCGAGCAATCCCTTCCCCTATGCATAAACGGATTTTACGCCAAGTGGAACCTTTGTGGAATGCTGTTGATTCTTTGGGATCTTTTTGTTTTGGGGCTCGGTATTGGGGTATTTGATATGGAGGGATGGCATTGGTTGCCATTCATCCCCAAATGCGCTGGGTTTAATCAACCTTAACCAATCAGTTTGATGTGTTCATCAAAACTTGTTCAACCATGTTCAACGATCAAAACGTGTGCCCTTGGGCATCTAATCAACATGAATGGTGACTTCACTCTGTCAATACCTACGCGTGTTACCCAACTTAATTGATGCCTACGAAAAGTTTTCCGAAACACGATTTTTCAACCGTGGAATCCGCTTCAAACAAGTTTGAAATAGCCTAAGTGGCCCCAGCTGTCAGTGGCACCGTGAGGAGCAGGGCATGAGTGGCGGCCAACAGAACAAGGACGAAGAGGTGGTGAAGATGGTCGCCCGGATGAACGAGCTCAAGGAGAAGCAGGACTTGGGACAGCTGGGACACCACAGGGTCTTTGGGATCTGAAACACTGGTGAGTTGGGGAGGTGGGAATATAACATAATAACCTATATACGTACTAATGACATCTAATTGAATAAGAAAATCTAAGAGATGTAGGTTTCTTTGTGGCGGGTTTGATAGTTTTCAATGGTCTCCCAGAAAACGTCGTTGTTGTTCTTCAAGGGTGGTGGCCCACCGTGGCAATGGGCGTTTGCAGGACCCAGGCAGCACTAAGAAGGAGAAGGATGGAAAGAAGGACTCCAAGAAGTGGCTTGGTGGGCTCGGAAACACTCAAAATTACCATTTCCCACAGACGGAAAAACATGAAACATCTATTGAGTATATAGCTGACCCCCAAAAAATATGCCAGGGATCATCTTTGTCAACATAAATATATAATTATATATACCTGTGACATCCAAATGATGCATTTTTGGCTGTTTCGCCAAAAACATGTTTTTTTGTTTTCATTCAAATCATTCAAACGGCGATAATTATTGTCTTCTGCTCACAATTGGATTTTTCTGGAATTTTGGAGACCTGCAAGTATCAAAGGAAGTGCACCAGAGTCAACCACATTTTGCTCAGCCTACATGCATTCATTGCCCGCAAACAATTGCTCACAGACTCACGTTGCTAAAGGCATTGCGAATAGCAACAGTTATTTGATGTAATTTGTTGGCGCTTGATCATATTCACTTCTGACATGACTGTGTGTTAATTCTCTAGCTGCTAGGGACAGTGACTTTCTTAATAGAGTTACTCTTCATGCTTGTTGCCATTTTCGACAAATCAGGCAGCTAAATCACCCCTACCAGTCTCATGATCGATCATAAAGACCGACTTGGCACACACTGCGCTCAAACTACGCAAAACCGCGTTCAAACTGCGCAACTATTTTTGAGCTTCAAAAAAGTTGATCCTGAGCGTGTTGGCATGACCAGGTCGGTCATCATTCGACACATGTCCGACTAGCTGCGATCAATGGGTTGGAAAAGTGGGTATATATGAAGGAGGGAAATCCATGGAAATCCTATGTTTCCTGGTTGGTAGTTTCCGACATGTGCCAATCTCACTATGGTCATCTATGCTTTCCACATATTTCTGGTAGGACTTTCCCTCATCGCGGATGTGCAGCCGATGAAACAACGAATAGGGTCGGTTGAAACCCACGAGGTGCTTCATGGTAGATATATTATATGATATATCTATACTTACTTTGGTTTTATGTTGGTTTGTTACCCATTACTATCTGTAGTTATGATTTATGATCCATTATTCTGATATATTCTGATTATTCTCTATAGTTCCCATGGTCTATAAACCATGGCAAATGAGTAAACCAACATAACAGTGGGGCACCGGTGGCACCTTTTGAGCACTCAGGAAGACACCTTTGAGCGCCGAGGAGCAGAAAGAGTTCGCTCAGCTGCAGCGTCTCGGATGGTTCGGATCGGCGGTACTCCCATTTCAGGAAACCTCCATTTCAGGAAACCATCCCCCAGTCATCATTTTTATAGGTGGTGTTAAACCATTCCCAAAGGGGTGGTTTATTATTGGTTGAACCACATTAAGTATTTTTTAATGCATATGACATGCATATCGGTGTGCGCCTTTGGCTTTGTATATAAATAGGTAGAAAAGGTCATGGCGGGGTTGGGTCCCAGTGTGTGAGCAGAAGTCGTAAGATGTCCTATACATGTCCTAACATATCTACGTTTTCGAATGCTTTGGGTGGATCGCTAATTGAATTACTGTCTTCCGCGTTTGACCAAACATTGATATTTTAACAGATCGAAAAGCCTACTGTGCCAAGTAATTTATATCCTGGCAAAATAGGACCCCGTAGAACTGCGTTTTGTCTTTGCAATCCGCTAATCATGAATTTGTCATCACCAGGATTATTTCAGTATGAGCCACTTTCGATCATGGTGACGATTGAACAATCCAATTTGGAAATATTCGGACAAACAACCCAGGGGTATCAGCAAGTTTCTTCATGAATGTTCGCGACACATTTTGTCACCGTGCTGACTCTTGTTGGCTTACTGTGCCTGAGCCACTGATGGTTTGGGTTAAATCATGCATTCAGCAAATTTTGTAAATTTGTGGAATATTGTTTTTTACGTTGATTGTTCTGATTAAAAACGTTTGTTTTGGTCATTCCCCCTACATTAAATATGTTGATTTGTCCAATCCAATTGTCCTAATTGAACATGGCCGTTTGCATTGATAAGATCCCATGTGTGTGTGTGTGCTAGTAAAATCAACGTTGTTGTTCGTCAAATTCAATCTTCTGCAAGTTTCCTGGAATTGGCCAAAGGGATCCAAAGGGGACATCTACACAGGAAAAGCCATGGTATTTTGGTGCAACTAAGATATCCTTGAAATCAGCCCACGGATCGCTAAGCTCATTCTTGCTCTGGTTAAAACAATATTTTCTTGTAGGTGAAACATTGCGTTTTGTCTTGTTTTTTCATCTCAATTTGCTGCTGAGTGTTGTCTTCATTCCCCTTTTTTATCCCACCTGTAGGAACGAGATCGAGATCTACAAGGCCAAATTGAGAAGCGAGTTCGGCTACAGCCCCTAGGCCTAACCAGTTTATGTTGATAGAGTTGGCTGCATGATTGGATCATTTTTGGAGTAAAACACCAAAGATGAATAGATGACGAGTTGTCAGTGGTGCAACCCAATCAATGCAGTTTAAACTCTGCAAACATGTTTGCAGAAACTAATGAATAATTT